ATGTCTCCCTCACCACCATGTCTCCCTCACCACCATGTCTCCCCTACCACCATGTCTCCCCTCACCACCATGTCTCGTCTCCATCACCACATGTCTCTCCGTCACCATGTCCCCCGTCACCACCATGTCTCCCGTCACCACCATGTCTCCCGTCACCACCATGTCCTGCCACCACCATGTCTCCAGTCTCTACATGTCCCGTCACCACCATGTCTCCTGCATCACCATATTATCCCGTCACCACCATGTCTCCGTCACCACCATGTCTCCGTCACCACTATGTCTCCCGTCACCACCATGTCTCCGTCACCACCATGTCTCTCGTCACCACCAAGTCCTCTCACCACCATGTCTCCCCTCACCACCATGTCTCCCTCACCACCATGTCTCCCCTCACCACCATGTTTCCCTCACCACCATGTCTCCCCTCACCACCATGTCTCCTCACCACCATGTCTCCCTCACCACCATGTCTCCTCTCACCACCATGTCTCCTCTCGCCACCATGTCTTCCCTCACCACCATGTCTCCCCTCACCACCATGTCTGCCCTCACCACCATGTCTCCCCTCACCACCATGTCTCCCTCACCACCATGTCTCCCTCGCACCATGTCTCCCCTCACCACCATGTCTCCCCTGCCACCATGTCTCCCTCGCCACACATGTCTCCCCTCACCACATGTCTCCCGTCACCACCATGTCTCCCGTCACCACCATGTCTCCCTCACCACCATGTCTCCCTCGCCACCATGTCTCCCTCGCCACCATGTCTCCCCTCACCACCATGTCTCCCGTCACCACCATGTCTCCCCGTCACCACCATGTCTCCCGTCACCACCATGTCTCCTCTCACCACCATGTCTCCCGTCACCACCATGTCTCCCTCACCACCATGTTTCCCCTCACCACCATGTCTCCCTCACCACCATGTCTCCTCTCACCACCATGTCTCCCCTCGCCACCATGTCTCCCGTCACCACCATGTCTCCCGTCACCACCATGTCTCCCGTCACCACCATGTCTCCCGTCACCACCATGTCTCCCGTCACCACCATGTCTCCCGTCACCACCATGTCTCCCCTCACCACCATGTCTCCCGTCACCACCAAGCCTCCCGTCACCACCATGTCTCCCGTCACCACCATGTGTCCCGTCCCCACCATGTCTCCCGTCATACATTATGGTTGAGATAACTGCAGGGGCGTCGTAAGGGGGGGCGGCCGCCCCGGGTAACACCATTTAGGGGGTGACACCACAGAGCCTCTAAAGAAAGTTACTCTAATACACTGTCCTAAACAGTGCTGCAGCAACATAAGAGAAGAATCCTTCGTTTCTATTCAGCCTAGTATATATTAACAAAGTACAAATAGGCCTATATAAGGAAAATCATTGCTTTTGATGATGTGATAGATGGTTTTGCATAATTGAAGGCAAGGAAATTGAAGATTAGATTCACTGAGATGTTACGTGAACTCAAAGTCAAATCAGAACTTGTGTTTCTCTGATATTGCAATGTTTTTCTTTATTTTTTAAGTTTTTTTTTTTTTTGCATTGTTGAAGATGAATAAATGTAGGATCTGTCGCCTGTACTTAAAGTGGTATTTGAGTTTCTTTCCTCAATATTACTCCGATTATTTATTTTATCATTAATAAAGCTGAGAAGTATTCTCTTATTTAGTTTATGGCTCTTAAATCTTCTCATTGTTGAACATTTGTCGCTGGTCATGTAGTAGTGACGTAACTGGAGTTTACTCCCCCTCCCCCCGCCTCCCCTCCCCCCCCGCTCTAGAATTTCACCAAAAATTCTGCCCCGGGTGACACCAACTCGAGCGACGCCTCTGGATAACTGTCCTCTGATATCCCTAGGATACCCTGCAGCTATAAACAGAATGTTCTGGCGTCCCTCAGTTGACACGGCAACATCTCTCTCTAAAGAATAAACGATGGTGTAAGCCAAAAGGTAAGGTGAAAGATACTCCGTATACTGGTAGTGAGAAAGATGCTACATACACTGGTAGTGAGAAAGATGCTACATACACTGGTAGTGAGAAAGATGCTACATACACTGGTAGTGAGAAAGATGCTACATACACTGGTAGTGAGAAAGATGCTACATACACTGGTAGTGAGAAAGATGCTACATACACTGGTAGTGAGAAAGATGCTACATACACTGGTAGTGAGAAAGATGCTACATACACTGGTAGTGAGAAAGATGCTACATACACTGGTAGTGAGAAAGATGCTACATACACTGGTAGTGAGAAAGATGCTACATACACTGGTAGTGAGAAAGATGCTACATACACTGGTAGTGAGAAAGATGCTACATACACTGGTAGTGAGAAAGATGCTACATACACTGGTAGTGAGAAAGATGCTACATACACTGGTAGTGAGAAAGATACTGTTTGGGTACTCTGACAGCGACATTATGTTTGCAGTAAAACCTATATTACAAGGTTTCGCCCAGGACAAACTGTCCTGACTATCAACATTATTTTCCATAGGCCTAAAGTGGACGGTACCATACACAAATAACCCGCACATACAGGAAAAAGAAGCTTACGACGACGTTTCGGACAGACTTGGACCATTGACTAGTCAATGACTAGTCACGATGTTGCGCATTTTTGTTCTCTGTGGACGTTGCTGTCATAAGCAGCCAGCCATCCCATCAGAGACATCAACATACCTCACAGCCCCAAGACTACCACTGCTACCGAGATTTGCAGTATTCCGCATGGAGAATGTAGTAAAGTGTACATCGGTGAGACGGGGCGCAACCTAGACTAGCCTGCCGGGACACAAACATGCTCACGGGATAGACGTATAGAGGAATGCGTGAGTCGTTGAGCGCAATGTGAGCTCATACGTCATGGACTCTGAAATAGCGCCCCACCCGGGAAGAAGATGAGACCATATGCAGGATTTTGGAAGCAGTCATTTATCATTCAGCCAATGCTATCGAACAAAAACAAGGGAATATATGCAGTAGCTGTGACTAGCAGGTCTCTGTGCGCATACAAAACAAACAAAATATTTATCAGGGACCTGCCGCCTGCTCCTTCCCTCCGCCACGCACAACGGGACTTAAAACATACATATTGCATGACTTCTCTCTCTCTCTCTCTCTCTCTCTCTCGCTTTCTTCTCATAACCTCACGGGTCACCTCACTTGTGTCTCACACAGCGTCTTTCTTACCACAAGAGTATGTCACACAAGAGTTGTCACCAAGCTTTCATGTCTCACCAGTGACATTACCACAGACACAACAACAAGGCAGAAACTCAACTAGCAACACTCACAAGCCAGAAACTCAACTAACAACACTACTCACAATAAAGCAGAAACTCAACTGGCAACACTACTCACAAGGCAGAAACTCAACTAGCAACTAACAACACAACTTAAGACAAGGACAATCCTCTCACATCATGAATGCCAGTACCTCTGTTACAAGTCTCGCACTACTAGCTCCCGTTACAAGTAACAGTCAATAAGAGACACAAGTATAACAAGGAAAGCAGTCAGACGCAGAACTAACTTGCGTAATTCACACACTAAATCTTTCCTTCGCCAGATCACTCTACACAATATTTACAAACGAACAAAGGAACACAAACACACACAGTGAACACAAAGTATTACAAAGAGCCAGCGGTTACAGTATGATACATACTAGATGAGGGTCTATAGGACCATCACAGACTGGTTAATCAAAACTAGTCCCTCACCCCGTTCCTTCCTAAGAAGTCAGAATACCCCAGCACACGGTGGCAGTCAGCAGGTGATCCAGGATTGTATACTATGTCTCAGCTTACGCTGATTCCAGCTGGTTGAGGTGATTACAGGAATGTGGTTGGTTTTGTGTCTGCCGGATAAATACATACATAATCGGAGCACACAACACACGTACACTCACAAACATATAGACATGCATATTAACAAACACAAGCACATGTACATTTATATAAACACATAGATGCAGACACACATACATAAATACATACACACATCTACACACATATAGTATACATGAACACATGCATGCCTACATAAAAACAAGCTAACACACATACACGCAAGACATATACATACACACAAGGTAGTAAAGCTGGTGGTAGTGGTAGTTAGACTGCTGATAGTGCTAATTAGGCAGGTGATAGTTGTAGCTAGGCAGGTGAAAGTGGTAGTCAGGATGGTGCCAGTGGTAGTGAGACTGGTGACAGTGTTAGTGATGCTGATGACACTGTTAATTGTACTGGTGAGAGTGATAGGCTGGTGATAGTGGTAGTGAGGCTGATGATTGAGGTATTGATGATGTGATAGTGGTAGTGAGGCTGGTGTTAGTGATAATAAGGCTGGTGATAGTGGTAGTTAGGCTGATGATTGAGGTATTGATGATGTGATAGTGGAAGTCAGGCTGGTGATAATGGTAGTCAAGCTGGTGATAGTGGTAGTGAGACTGGTTATGGTGGTAGCGATGGTGGTGATAGTTGTAGCGATGTTGGTGATAGTGGTAGTGATTGTAGTGTTAGTAGTTATGTAGTTGTAGTGGTGGTGATAGTGGAAGTGGTAAATGGTTATAGTGGTAGATATCGGTGACAGTAACATGTGTTAGTAGTAATGTTGGTAGTAACAAATGATAGTGACGGATGAATGGTGATAGCTGTAGTGACTAATGTAACTAGCATTGGTGGTGATAGTGGTGGTGGGGGTAGTAGTGATAGTGGTGGTAGTGGTGGTGGTAGTGGTGGTAGTGGTGGGGGTATGGTGGTAGTAGTAGTAGTGGTGGTAGTGGTGTTGGTAGTGGTGGTGGTAGTGGTGGTGGTAGTGGTGGTAAGTAGTAGTTTGGGGGTTAGTGGTGTTGGTAGTGGTGGTGTAGTGGGGGTGGTAGTGGGGGTAGAGTGATAGTGGTGGTAGTGGTGGTGGTAGTGGTGGGGATGGTGGTGGTAGTGGTGGTAGTGGTGGTGGTAGTGTGGTAGTGGTGGTGGTAGTGGTGGTAGTAGTAGTAGTGGTGGTAGTGGTGTTGGCAGTGGGGGTGGAAGTGGTGGTTGGGAGTGGTGGTAGTAGTGATAGGTGTGGTAGTGGTGGTGGTAGTGGTGGTAGTGGTGGTGGTATGGTGGTTAGTGGTGGTGGTAGTGGTGGTAGTGGTGGTGGTAGTGGTGGTAGTAGTAGTAGTGGTGGTAGTGGTGTTGGTAGTGGTGGTGGTAGTGGTGGTGGTAGTGGTGGTAGTGGTGGTGGTAGTGGTGGCGTTAGTGGGGGTGGTTATGGTGGTAGTAGTAGTGGGGGTGGTAAATGGTGGTAATGGGGGTGGCAGTGTTGGTAGTGGTGATAGTAGTGGTGGTGGGTGATAGTGGTGGTGGTTTGTGGTGGTGGTAGTGGTGGTGGTAGTAAATTGGTGGTTTGGGAAGTGGTGGTGGCAGTGGTGGTGGTAAATAGTGGTAGTGGTGGTGGTAGTGGTGATAGTGGTGGTAGTTGGTGGTGGGGGGTGTGGTGTGGTTAGTGGTGGTATTTTTGGTGTTAGTGGTGGTGGTAGTGGTGGTAATGGTGGTGGGAGTGGTGGTAGTGGGGGTAGTAGTGGGGGTGGTAGTGGTGGTGGTAGTGGGGGGTAGGTGGCGTTAGTGGTGGTAGTTATGGTGTTAGTGTGGTGGTAGTGGTGGTAATGGTGGTGGCAGTGGTGGTAGTGGTGATAGTAGTGGTGGTGGTAGTGGTGGTAGTGGTGGTGGTGGTGGTGGGGGGTGGTAGTGGTTGGGGGTAAAGGGGGTGAGTGGTGGTGGTGGTAGTGGTGGTGGTTTGTGGTGGTGGTGTGGGGGTAGTGGTGGTGGTAGTGGTGTGGGGTAGTGGTGGTGGTATTGGTGGTGGTAGGTGGTGGTGCGGGAGTGGTGGTGGGTGGGGGTAGTGGTGGGGTAGTGGTGGTAGAGGCGGTTGGGTTTGGTGTAGTGGTGTGGGTAGGATGGTTAGTGTGTAGTGGTGGTGGGTTTTGGTGGTGTATGGTGGTGGTAGTTGGTGTAGTGGTGGTGGTAGTGGTGGTGGTAGTGGTGGTGTTATGGTGTAGTGGGGGTGGTTGTGGTGGTGGAAGTGGTGGTAATGGTGGGGGCAGTGTGGTAGTGGTGGGTGGTGGTGGTATGGTGGGGTGGGTGGGGTAGTGGTGGTGTGTAGTGGTGGTGGTAGTGGTTGGTAGGGTGGTAGTGGTGGTGAAATGGTGGTGGTAGTGGTGGTGGTAGGGGGTGGTGGTAGTGGTGGGAGTATGTGGTGGTATGGTTTGGTGGTGGTAGTGGTGGTGGCAAATGGTGGTGGTAGTGGTAGTGGGGGTTTGGGAGTGGTGGTGGCAGGGGTTTGGTGGGGAGTGGTGGTAGGGTGGTGGTAATGGTGTGGTGGGAGTAGTGGTTAGCGGTGGTGGCAGTGGGGGGTGTAGTATGGTAGTGGTGGTTAGTGTTGTAGTTGGTGGTGGTAGTGGTGGTGAAAGTTGTGGTGGTGGTAGTGGTGGTGGTGGTGGGGGGTGGTAGGGGGTGGTAGAGATGGTGGTATATGATAGTGGTGGTATTGGTGGTGGATGGTGGGGGGTATAGTGGTGGTAGTGGGGGTGTAGTGGTGGTGGTAGTGGTGGTGTGGTGGTGGGGTGGGGGCGGCAGGGTGGTAGTTTTATGGTAGTGGTGGTGGTAGTGGTGGTGGTAGCTGTGGTGGTAGTTTTGGTGGTAGTTGTGATGGTAGTGGTGGTGGTGGTGGTTGGGGGTAGTGGTGGTGGTGGTGGATTGGTGGATGTTGGGGGTAGTTGTGATGGGGTTGGTGGGGTGGTGGTGGTGGTAGTGGTGATGGTAGTGGTAGTGGGTGGTAGTTTGGGGGTAGGTGGTAGTGGTGGAAGTGGTGGTGGAGTGGAGGTAGGGTTGTAGTGTGGGGGTTGAGTGGTGGTGGTAGTATTGATGGTAGTGGTGGTGGTAGTGAGGTAGGGTGATGGGAATGGTGAAGTGGTGGTGGAGTGGGGTAGTGGTGGTAGTGGTGGTTGTAGTGGTGGGGGATATGATGTAGTGGTGGGTGTAGGGAGGAAGGGGTGATGGTAATGGTGGGAGTGGTGGTAGTGGTGGTAGTGGTGGTAGTGGGGTGTGGTGGTAGTGGTGATGGAGTGGTGGTAGTTTGGGGTTGGTAGTGGGGATAGTGGGATGGGTGGTGGAAGCGGTGGTAGTGGCGGAGCAGTGGTGGTAGTGGTTGGTAGTGCTGTAGTGGGTAGTAGGGTGGTAGTGGTATAGTTCGTAGTAGTGGGGTATGGGGGGGTGTAGTGGTGTGGGTTGTGGTGGAAGAGGGGGTAGTGATGGGATGGTGGGTGGTATGGTGGTAGTAGTGGTGGTATGGCGGTAGTAGTGGTGGTAGTGGTGGTAGTGGCGGTAGTAGGGGTAGGGGTAGTAGTGGTGGTATGGTGTAGTGGCGGTAGTAGTGGAGGTAGTGCGTATAGGGTGGTAGTTTTGGAATGGGGGTATGGGGGGTGGTAGTGGTGGTGTGGGGGTAGTGGCGGTTGTGGTGGTAATGGGGTAGTGGGTAGTTTGGGGTGGTAGTGGTGGGAAATATGGTGGGAGTGGTGTGTAACGGTGGTAGTGGTGGTTGGTAGTGTTTGGGAGTGGGGTAGTATGGTGGATGGTGGTAGTGGTGGAAGTTTGTGGTGGTATGGTGGTGTATGGCGTGTATGCGGTAGTGGTGGTAGGTGGGTAGTGGGGGTAGTAGGGTGGTAGTGGCGGGTAGTGGTGGTAGTAGTGGTAGAGTGGTGGTTTGGTGGTAGTAGTGGTGGTAGTGGTTGGTAGTGGTGGTAGTAGTGGTACTAGTGGTGGTAGTGGTGGTAGTGGCGGGTTTGGGGGCGGTAGTAGTGGTGGTGATGGTGGTAGTGGTGGTAAATAGTGGTTAGTAGTGGTAGTAGTGGGGTAGTGGGGTAGTGGTGGTAGTAGTGGTTTGTGGGGTATAGTTAGTGGTAGGGTGTAGTGGGGTAGTGGTGGTAGTAGTGGTGGTAGTGGTGGTAGTATGGTATGTGGGTGGGAGGTGGTGTGGGGGTGTAGGGTGTATGGCGGGAGTAATGGGGGAGTGGTGGTATGGCGGTATATGGGGTAGTGTGGTAGTAGTGGTGGTAGTGGTGGTGTGGTGGAGTAGTAGTGGTATGGTGGTAGTGGGGTAGTGGTTGTAGTAGTTGGTGGTAGTGGTTGGTGGTAAGGGGGTGGTAGTGGTGGTATGTGGTGGTAGTGTTGTAGTGGTGGTAGTGGTGGAAGTGGTGGTAGTGGTGGTGGGAGTGGCGGTATGGTGGTAGTAGTGGTGTAGTGGTGGGAGTAGTGGTAGTAGTGGTGGGAGTGGTGGTAGTGGTGGAAGTGGGGGAGAGTAGTGGTGGTAGTGGTGGTAGTGGTGGTAGTAGTAGTAGTAGTGGTGGTAGTATGGTAGTAGTAGTGGTAGTGGTGGTTGTGGTGGTAGTAGTAGTAGTAGTGGTGGTAGTAGGTAGAGAAGTGGGAGTGGTGGTAGTAAGTGGTGGTAGTGGTGGAGTGGTGGTAGTAGTGGGTAGTAGTGGTAGTAGTGGGGTAGTGGTGGTAGTGGTGGTAGTGGTGGGAGTATGGTGTAGAGTGGTTGTATAGTGGTGTAGTAGTGGTAGTAGGTGTAGTGTGGGGTAGTGGTGGTATAGTGGTAGTAGTGGGATGTATGGTAGTAGTGGTAGTAGTGGTGGTATGTGGTGGTACTGGTGGGAGTGGGGGTAGTGTTGGTAGTGGTGGTGTAGTGGGGGATAGTGGTGGTGGTGGTAGTGGTGGTGGGTGGGGGGTGGTAGGGGTGGTAGGATGGTGGGATAGTGATAGTGGTGGTATGGTGGTGGTATTGGGGTGGTTAGTAGTGGTGGTAGTGGTGTGGGAGTGGTGGTGGGAGTGGTGGTAGGTGTGGTGGTGGTGGCGGCAGTGGTGTAGTTGTGATGGTAGTGTTTGGGGGTAGTGGTGGTGTAGCTGTGGTGGTAGTTGTGGGGGTAGTTGTGTGGTAGGGGGTGGTGGGGGTGGTGGATGGGGGGTGGTGGTATTGGTGGTGTAGTGGTGGTAGTGTGATGGTATGGTGGTGGTGGGGTGGTGGTGTAGTGGTGTGGTAGTGGTAGTGGTGGTAGTGGTGGTAATGGGGGTATGGTGGTGTGGTGGTGGTAGTGAGGTAGTGGTGGTAGTTGGTGGTTGTAGTGGGGGTGGAGTATTGTGGTAGTTGGTTGGTGGTAGTGGAGGTAGGGTATGGGAATGGTGAAGGGTGAGGGGGGTAGTGGAGTATGGTGGTAGTAGTGGTGGTTGTAGTGGTGTGGGAGTACTGATGGTAGTGGTGGTGGTAGTGGAGGAGGGGGTGATGGTAATGGTAGTGGTGGGAGTGGTGGGGTGGTAGTAGTGGTGGTAGTGGTGTAGTGGTGATGGTAGTGGTGGTAGTGGTGGTGGTAGGGTGATAGTGGTGAGGTAGGGTGGAACGGTGGTAGTGGCGGAGCAGTGGTGGTTTGTGGTGGTGGGAGTGCTGGTAGTGCAGGTAGTAGTGGGGGTAGTGGTATAGTTGCGGTAGTATGGTGGTAGTGGTGGTGGTAGTGGTGGTAGTGGTATGGGGAAGTAGGGGGTAGTAGGTTGGTGGTGTAGTGGTGGTAGTAGTGGTGGTAGTGGCGGTAGAGTGTGGTAGTGGTGGAGTGGCGTTTGTAGTTTGGTGGTAGTGGCGGTAGGTGGGGGTAGTGGTGGTAGTGGCGGGAGTAGTGGAGTGTGGCGGTAATGGGGTAGTTGTGGAATGGTGGTAGTATGGTGGTGGTAGTGGTGGGGTGGTGGTAGTGCGGTTAGTGGTGGTAATGGGGGTAGTGGCGGTAGTGGTTTGGGGGGTGGTGGAATAGTGGTGGTAGTGGTGTGGTAACGGGTAGTGGGGTGGGGTAGTAGGGTGGTAGTGGCGGGAGTAGTGGTGGTAGTGGTGGTATGGTGAAAGTATTTGGGGGTAGTGTGGGGGTAGTGGCGGTAGTTTGGGGTGGGGTATGGGGGTAGTGGTGGTGGGCGGTAGTAGTGGTGGTAAATGGCGGTAGTGGGGTATAGTGGTATAGTGGTGGTAGTGGTGGTATAGTGGTGGTATGTGGTGGTAGTGGTGGGAGTTAGTGGTACATGTGGTAGTGGTGGTAAATGGGGTTTGTAGTGGCGGTATAGTGGTGGAGTGGTGATGGTGGTGTAGTGGTTAGTGGTAGTAGTGGTGGTGGTGGTAGTGGTGGTAGTAGTGGTTTGTATTTGGGGGTATAGTAGTGGTTGGTGGTAGTGGGGTTGTGTAAGTGGGGTAGTGTGGAGTATGGTAGTTGTGGGGGTAGTGGTGGGAGGCGGTAGTAGTGGGGGGTAGTGCGGAGTAATGGTGGTAGTGGGGTATGGCGGTAGTAGTGGGGGTATGGTGGGTAGTGGGGTAGTGGGGAGTGAGGTAGAAGTGTTGGTAGTGGTGTTATAGTGTGGTTAGTGAGGTAGTATTGTATTAGTGGTGGTACGTGTGTAGAGGTGGGGATTAGTGGATTAGTAGGTGGTAGTGGAAGTAGTGGTACTTATAAGGTGGTAGAAACGTGGTATTCGTGTTTGTAGATAGTGGTGTACGTAGAGTGAGAAGAGTGGTATTGTGGTAGTGCGTGGTATAGTGGAGGTAGTGGCAGGAAAATTGGTATAGTATGGTGGACGTAGAGGTAGTAGAGTGTGGGTAGTAGTGGTGGAAGTGGTAGTATAGGTGGTAGTGAGTGGTGGTATGAAGTTGTGGAAGTAGTGGTGGTAGTGGTGGTAGTGTGTGGTAGGGGTGGTAGTAAGAAGTAGTAAAGTGGTCTAGTGTAGTAGTAGTGGTAGTGGTGATATGGTTGGTAGTGGTGGTAGTGGTTAGTAGTGGTGGTAGTAGTGGTAGTAGTGGTGGTCGTGGAGTTATGGTGTTAGTAGTAGTTGGTAGATTTATTACGATTATACTGTTTTCTGTACTTCTAATTTTTACGACTGATTTTCTTCAGTAATTACGACTTATGACGACTATTATTAACTATTGATACTTATGATTACTAACTATTACTACATTATACATTATTACTACTAGTTGTCGTAACTAGATACTACATTACTACTATTATTACTACTATTATTACTATTACTACCATTATTACTACCTATTATTACTATTTTACTTTTATTAACTACTATTTACTACTACTAATTTCTACTACTATTACTACTATGATTACTAGGTTTATTACTACTATTACTATTATTACTATTACGCTACTATCATTTACTACTATTACTACCATTATTACGTATTATTACCTATTATACTATTATTACTACTACTATTACTATTATTACTATTATACTATATTACTATTACTACTTTTACTACCTATTATGTACTACTATTACTACGATTATTACTTTACTACGATTATTACTATTATTTACAATTATTACTACTACTACTTACTGATTATTACTATTATTCCTACTATTATTACTATTACTAGTTATTACTATTATTACTAATTATACTTATATTACTACATTACTACGATTACTACATCACTACTATTACTGACCTATTATTACTATTATTACTACTATATATTACTAGTCCATTACTACTATTGAACTATTATTACTACTATTGACTACTATTATTACCCAACCCACCTCGATTCGCCCCTCACCCACCCCCATACCCACCCTTTCCCCCCCCACACCCCCCAAACCTTGACCCCCAACCCACAACATGCCACCCCTCCACCAAACCCACGACACCCAACTCCGACACCAAGAGCCTCACACCTTCACCCTACACACTCTCACAATCACACACACACTACAAACCACACACTCACTCACACACACACCACACTCACACACAAACACCCCACCCACACCCTCACTCCCATCCTCCCCACACCCCCAACCATGCAGTCCCCCAATATAAACGGACCAATATAAACGACTCAATCACCTGACCATCTCTACACCGTCCTGCACTTAACTTCACACGAGGTTAGTAATTAATCTAAAAACAACCTCAGAGATTAACTAACAACACGTTGACAATAAATGTTAAAGCTTAACAGTACAAAATAATACTAATAATAAGGAGATAATAATGGGTATAATGGGAGATGAATAGAGAATAATAATATTAAGAAGAATATTATTAATATGTTGGTTAGTAATAATAATAATAAAATAATAATAATAATAATATAATAATAATAATAATAATAAGAATAATAATAATAATAATAATAATAATAATAATTAATAATAATAATAATAATGATAATAATAATAATATTAATAATAAATAATACTAATAATAAAATAATAATAATAATAATAATAATAAAATAATAATAAATAATAATTATTAATATTAGTGCAAATTACAACCTGAACAACACGGCACAACTGAACATGCATCATTATGTTAACAACAACATCACCATTAAACAACAAAACATCAACATATAACAACAACATCAACAAAATAAAACATACATCAACATATAACATCATACATCAACATATAACAACATACATCACCATATACAAACATACAAATCAACATATTAACAACAATACATCAACATATAACAACCAAACGATCAACATATAACAACATACATCAACATTAACAACATACATCAACATATAACATCATACATCAACAATAACAACATACATCAACTTAAAACATCATACATCAACATATAACAACATACATCAACAATAACAACATACATCAACATATAACTGTCATACATCAACATATAACATCATACATCAACATATAACAACATACATCAACATATAACAACATACATCAACATATACCAACATGCATCAACATATAACATCATACATCAACATAATAACAACAGTACAATCAACATATACATCATACTTCCACATATAACAACATGCATCAAACATATAACATGCATACATCAACATATGAGAACAACATACCTCAACATATAAACAACATACATCAAAATATAAACAACATGCATCAACATATAACAACATACATCAACATTAACAGCAATACATCAACAAATAACAACATACATCAACATCTAACAACAAACATAACATATAACAACATACATCAACATATAACATCATACATCAACATATAACAACATACATCAACATATAACATCATACATCAACATATAACAACATACATCAACATATAACATCATACATCAACATATAACATCATACATCAACATATAACATCATACATCAACAAATAACACCATACATCAAATATATAACATCAACAACAACATATAACAACATACATCAACATATAACATCATACACACATATAACAACATACATCACCATATAACATAATACACAACATATAACATCATACATCAAACATATAACAACATACATCAACATATAACATCATACACACATATAACATCATACAACACAGATAACAACAGATAACACATATAACATCATACAACAGCATATAACAACATACATCAACATAGATAACACCAGATATCACCAATAACAACATACAACAACATATCACAACATACATCGAACATATAACAACATACATCAACATATAACAACATACATCAACATTATAACAACAGTACGGCATCACAATATAAACAACATAACATCAACTTGTAACAATATACAATCAAAACCTATAACATGTAAACACAACATAACACATGCATCATCCATATAGACAACATACATCACAATAAAAAACATACATCAACATATAACAACATACAACAGCATATAGCAACATAACATCAACATATAAACAACAAACATCAAACATAATATAACAACCATTACATCAACATATAACAACATACATCGAACATATACAACATACATCAACTTGTAACAATATACATCAACAATAACATGTAAAACACACATAACAACTTGGCTTCAAGCATTATAACAACAAACAATCAACATAATAACGAACATACATCAGCATATAGCTACATACATCACATATAACAAACATACATCAACCTAGAACAACATATATCAACATATAGCACAAACAGCATCATCAACATATAACAACATACATCAACATATAACAACATAACAATCAACAACTAGACAACATGCATCAACATATAACAACATACATCAACATATAACAACATACATCAACATATAACAACATACATCAACATATAACAACATACATCAACATATAACAACATACATCAACATATAACAACATACATGAACATATAACAACATACATCAACATATAACATGTAAACACACATAACAACATGCATGAGCATATAACAATATGTAACAACATGCATCAACATGTAACACATTACATGCGTCAATATATAACAACATGTAACAGCATGCATCAACATACAACAGC